GATGTTGTCGAAGACGAAACACATCTCTTCTTGATAATTTTGGCCCGGTGAAATATTGTTAAAGATAAAATGTTCAATTGACATCATTAATGACAATAAAATTAATTTGTAACCAGCTCAAGATGTCTGCTCTCTAGTTTGACAAGTGAAGTCGACAATACACAAATCAGTAATAATGCATGAAATGAAACTTCATTTCATTTTTTATTATTAGCTTTATTCGCCTGGTTTATTTTCTCTCTTATTACTTTTATTTCCCCCTATCTGCTTGAATAAACCAATTTCTCTCGAAAGTCTTTTGAAAAGATATCGCCAGTTGGCGTCTTTTGTAGCGGGTCCCCAACAGGGTTCTGAACTAAAATTTTCTCTCCCTCCCGCGATCCCGACGGATTATACCGGCCAATTTCGATTCCGCATATGAAGTTAGTCCATTACCTCAACTGTAGCGGGCCTTTTCAATGGGTGATGATTTCCTACACCAGCATTGATCCATTGAAGTTTTTGCTCACCTCAAGCCGTAAAGCTATCTCTTTTCGCGAAAACGATGATAACGTTCATTTTAGAAGTTTTTTTTTAAGCTTTGCACAAGTAACGTACGCTAGTCACAGTACCTTCTTTCGTAGGGCCCGCCCAGTATATTTTTGAGTGTGGGACGAACGCAGGAGCCAATAAGGGAGGGGAGGATAGGACCAGTATGGGTATCCATCCCCGCCAAAATTCAAACTTGTTGTTCAAACATTCAATTCGTCACTTCAAACATTCAATTTGTCCCTTCAAACATTCAATTCGTCACTTCAAACATTCAATTCGTCACTTCAAACATTCAATTCGTCACTTCAAATATTCAACTCGGCAATTCAAACATTCAACTCGGCAATTCAAACGTCCAATCCGTCAAATCAAAGATTCAATTCGTCACTTGAAACACTCAATTCGGCAATGCAAACGTCCCATTCGGCAATTCAAAGATTCAATTTGTCAATCGAACATTCACCTCGTCATTTCAGACATTCCAACATTCAATTCGATATTCGCCGGTTGAAATATCAATTTTGACATACACTCTCGACGTTCAAAGTTTCGACATACAAACTTTGAAGATTCACTCTCGACGTTCAAAGTTTCGACATTCAGTTTCGACATTGACTTTCGACAGTCACTTTCAACATTCACATTCGACATTGACTTTCGACATTCAAACTTTGAACATTCAAACTCAGCGTCCGTTTGGTCTGGGTACGAGAATGTGTCTCAGGCCTCTCTCGGTCTTTTTCGTGAGTTACGTTTGGCGCGGCATGACTTACTTAGGGCCCATTATTTAATCGAAATGAAACGTAGACCGTGGGTTAAGGATGGTAATGGACCCTGAGATTCTCATTATAATCATGTTACGTAAGGAAAGATATGTTTGATTTAAATTAATTGAAGATTTTGAGTCAAATCGAATTTTTTTCAGAATTTTCGGTATAACGCTGCGCAATTTTCTGGCCATGAAGGCAAGTAAACAACGATCTAAGCATGATGAATTTTACCGCGTGGGCTTTGTAAACGTAAGAAATTCGTACGTTTTTCGCTTATAACAGCAAATGAAAAACTGTTTTGAATAAATCTGGCGTTCCGAAATATTTCTTGGCCATTTTAGTCTTGCTTCTTATTGATAGATTCCATGGAACTTGAGATCTCTCCACTCACGGAGAAATTTGCATATTCCTTTTGAAATATGATCCACATGCTCATTTGCACACATGCGAAAATATTTTGTGATTTTTAACTTTCATCTTGAATTTTTAGTTAAAACGTAATATGCACTTATCGCTTTTTTCGTTGAAAATAAGTTCTTTGATTAGTCTTCTTTCACTCGAGCTTGTTTTTTGGAAAACGTGATTTTTACAAATTTACTGCGCATTGTGTTTGCTTTCTTGTTTCTCCAAAATTTACACTTTTCGTAGACACGTGTTACACCACAGGCAGCCCCAGCTCTCTTTGAGAACCACACAAGGAACACAATTTGCATATCGATTTATAAGGATTTGTATGGGATTTTCTACAAGACAGCCATAGAGATAGTTAAAAGTGAAAATATTAAATAAAAAGAAGAGAAAACTAGGATTAAAAAAAAAAACGGTTAAATTAAGTGAAATCGGTAAAATAACGACACCTGGAGCAAGCAATACACATATGGAATAAGGTAAGCCATTTTTAATTAATATTTTCACTTTTAACTATCTCTATGGCTATCTTGTAGAAAATCCCATACAAATCCTTATAAATCGATATGCAAATTGTGTTCCTTGTGTGGTTCTCAAAGAGAGCTTGGGCTGCCTGTGGTTACACGTAAGTGTCAATGGGTTAAATTTTTATTTCCTATTGTTCCACACCTAGTATCAGACATTACCATACCCAAAAACAAAGGAAAAGAACATTCAAACGATGGATAAATTTAAACCACAACAGATAAAATTGTGTCGTACAAATAACTTTTGACGTACAGTGGTGGTCAGTAGTTTTAGGCTTATGAAGAAATTGTCATTCTAAATGATGCAAACTGTCAGCACATGTACTAACCGGTTCTCAATACGCACCCCCCATAAGAATAAACGAGATTGAAATTATATTAGAAAGTTAACAGCAACATTAAGGACCGGCTATTGAAACGAAGTTTAGGCGAGGTTTATTAAAACTTCGGGCTAACTAGACTTCAATCTGCTCAACCCAAACAGGTAGGCGTTCTTCACTATAATTAAACTGTAAAGCCAAGCAGGCATATGCCACAGACTAATTTAAATTAAACATATCTTTCCTTACGTAACATGATTATAATTAGAATCTCATGGTCCATTACCATCCTTAAACCACGGTCTAAGGTTTATTTCGA